AAAAAAAAAAAAAAGATTACATTAAAATTAAGAACTTCTGTTCACCAAAACACACCATAAAGAGTAAAAAGACAAGCCATGAACTGGAAGAAGATATTTACAACGCATATAATCAACAAAGGATCAGTGTTACCAGTTTATTAGTTTTAAAAGACAACCCAAGAGAAAAATGGGTAAAAGATATGACCAGGTAATTCACAAAAGGGAAAACAGTTCATAAACATATGAAAAGATGCTCAAACTCATTAACAAAGAAATGCAAATTAAAATCACAAAGACACATCACTTCATACCCATTTGATTGGCAAATATTAAGAAATCTAATGATAATAAGTGTTGGAGTAGCTATAGATCAACTATAACTCTTATACACTGCTTATCAAAGTATATAAAAATTGACAAAACTGCTGGACAAAGTACCAGGTGGTACAACCACTTCAGAAAACAATTTGGTAAAGTTGAACATTCACACCCCATAATCCAGCAATTTGACTTCTAGCAAATAGCTTACCACAGTAGTATTCCAACCATTTTTTACTCACAAACCACTAAAAATTGTTTGAAATCATTTTCACACTAAGATGACATCTAAAAGTGTTCAGCCCAAGTTTAAATAATTGCAAATGATGAATTCTTGTGACTTAAAAATAAAACTGACATATCATTGGTTTAAACTGTTATAATTATTACAGCATAGCATTTATCAAAAATAACTACATACACTGATAATTAAACATAAAATGTGAAATTGTATTGCAAATGCAGCTCTTGAGATGGGAAGTACCTGGATTAGAAAAGGCTTTCTCTAACACTATATATATATATATATATATATATACTGGATTTTAAATTATCTGTGTTCCATGGAGTTTTTCTGCTTGAGACAATGCCTTAGTAATATTCCATGTGGGCAAGTGGTATGCCTTCCTTATCTAAGGTAGAAGTGCTACTAGGAAAGGTAAGGTAGAAAGCAGAACCAACAGGAGGCCTCTCTCACAGGCCTCAGGCATTACCAATTTTAAGCGTACACATGGAATTTAATGATCTAGAAAGTGATTCATTAATATCACTCCTGCCCAAGTACTCCCTAGAAATATCTTCATTACTCCCCTGGGGGTCATAAACCCCAGCATGAAAATTAGAGAAATTCTTGCAACTGTGTACCAGAAGATATGTACAAGAATCTTTGTAATAGCAAAACCTAGAAACAGCCAAATGTCCATCAAAGAATGCATACACTGTGTTATATTCACCTGAGGAATATTACACAGCAGTGAAAATTAATGACTTACATCTATACTCAGTATCAGTGACTCTTAGAAACAACATTGAGTGAAATAAGCAAGTCTCAGAAAACTGTATCCAGAATTCCTTTTTTTTTAAACTCAAAAACAAAGAAACCATACAATACATTCTTGAGAGATATACACATATCTGACAAAATTATTTTTAAAAAGCAAAAAATGACACAGACAATTCAGGATAGTCACTCTGGAGATGAGCACATACAATATTGGTCATTTTGATTCTTGGATTGATTGAGTGGTGTATTGATTGGTGTTCATTGTATTGTTTTGCTTCACAACCTGCATATATATTACATAGATTTTATTTTTTATTATTTTATTGTTACATATATTTTGATTATATCAAGTATTACATTAAAGAGGAAAAAAGATTTTTCAAAACCATTCATTATATTTTAAAAAGTAATTAAATCACCTCAACTGCCACTAAAGAGGTACATAAAACATACCATGGAAATTACTATCTTTACATCAACCATAGGTGCAAAATAAATTTTTACTCGAATTTATCTTATGAAGACCACGTGAGATAAAGACTGAGCCAGTTAGCTGTGAGAGATGAACCCATCTGACACAGAGCAGAAGCCAAGGTGGCTACAAGCAAATTTAGCCATAAGCTAAAGTTACAAGGAAGCTGGTCAGTAAAGAGAAGGCAAAAAAGTAAAGGTCTAGTAACAAAGTATTAGCAAGGATGTGAGGAAATGGGTGTCCTCACTCAATACAGTGAGAGTGAAAATTAGTACAACCACTTTGAGAGCTTCTGTGATATTTAGTTAAGCTGAAGATGCACATATCCTAATATCCAGCAACTCTACTACTAGGTATATTTCCTAGAGAAACTTCCAAATGTGTGCACAAGCAGACAAGTACAAAGATGTTTATTGCAGGATTGTTTTGAGTCAAAAAACCAGAAACAACTTCAAAGTCCATCGATTGGGAAATGGATAAATTATGGTATATTCATACAATTGGATTCTATACCAGCAATTAAAATGAATGAACCAAAGATAACACAATTATCCAATTCATTTGTATATAAATCTCAAAATGTGATACTGATCAAAAAAATGCAAGTTGCAAAAAGACACGTATCATTTAAAACCATTAAGATTTAAAACACATACCACCACACATTGTCTATGGATTCACTGTGAACCAACTATAAAATATGCAAGGGAATGATATACACAAATCTGAACACGGTGGCTACCTCTAGGGAAGGAGGGACAGGAACTCGGAGCCGCCTCCAACATCTGCAATTTTATTTCTCAAAATAAAAAAGGATCTGAAGTAAATTTGGCAAAATAATTACATTTGTAAATCTGAGTCATGGGTTGGTGAGATTCCCCCTGTGTATTTTATATGTGAAATATTTCAGAAATTAAAAAGGAAAAGGGAAATTAGGCAAAGGTAAGAAAATTGAACAAATGAACAGAAAGACACACCGAAACACAGCCTTTGAGCGCAGAGCATGAACCTTTGAGCAAGAAGCAGCGTAGGAGGCGGATCTTTAATCGGTTTGAAGTTTCCTTCCCTGTGTATCCTTGTAATAAATCCCATTTCCCTTAGGATAAAACGCAAATTTCTTGTAATAAAAAATGTCCTAACTAGAGCTGTAACTATGAGAAAACTGCTGCCAAGGGAGAAGTAAAAACCTGTACGATGTCTACCTTGAGTCCTCTCGCCAGGATGTTGGGCAGAATCAAGAGATAATTTATGTGAACGCCATAAAACACTATATGAACCGTAGTGGCACGTAGCTGAGCCCAGGCACAGCTAAAACGTATTTGCCCAGTTGGCGTGTATGTGTATTTTGGAAGGAGTCTGCAATTGAAGGGCTTTGGGCGTATTCGGCGCTTCTGGAAAAGGCACTCCGCACTGGTACCAGCCAAAATTCACCTACGCCTTGGCTCAATTTTTGGCCCTTGGCTCCCCCCTCATTCTGTCCCCAGAATAGGCTGGCTCGACAGGCCACACCTGACGTCGTCAACACTACGGAGCAGCTGTCCAGACCAGCCTCCGTCTCTCCCTTCCCACTCGCGTCGGGGGAGGGAGGATGCTCCCGCGAGGAGGGAGGGGGGAGCGCTGGGTTGATTTTCCCACCCCCGGCCCCCCTCCTGGGAGGGAAGCCACCCCCGGACTCGACTGCCATTCTCACGAAAACAGGTGGCGCAGACTTAAGGCACACAAAACAGAACGGGGCGCGCACGAACGTTCACGAAAACTCGCGAACGAAAACGCGCACAAGGGAGATCATACACTCGACAAGACCCAGGCGCGGCACGCGCGCAGGGACACGCGAGGACGCACACCGCGGCGGGAGATGATCCAGGATGGGGTCACGACTGCAGAAGGCGCGGCCACACGAGCGGGGGACGCGCGCCCCCCGGAGAGGGACGGTGACAAAGGGGGGCCGCCCACGCCGTCGCCAAGAACGGGCGCGACACAAAGAAGCCGGGAGTGGAAACACAGGCGCGTGCCCGCACGCCCGGACCGAGGGACCCCTCGCCTCTCAGGGGTGTCACCATCCAGACGAGAGTGCGCGGGCAGCAGGGGGATGCGCACACAAAGGGGCTACTCCCACCCTCGCACAGATGCCCGGAGGCGCCCAAGGGGGCTGAAGGGGCCCGTTAGATAAAGGTGACACACCCACTGGGGGCAACAAAGGCGGCCACACCCCCAGCGCACCGGCACCCCAACCCACGCAGACACACCGGGGGCACCACAGCGAGCGACGCGGGGCGACGCGCACACACCACACTCACCACACACCCACGGAGGGGGTGTGGAGGGCCCCTCTCCCCGGGCATCTCGGCTGCAGCGCGATAAGGTGACACATCCGGGAGCCCCGCCGCGCGCCAGATGTGC